GTGAGCTGAATAATAGAAATGCAGTTTGAATGATAATCGATGATAATGTTGAGTCCCGATGTTCCATATTAAACAGCATATTGTGTTTTAAAAGGTGAGTTCTGTACCAAAAAGGCAGATAAAGGGTTGCTGCACTGTATATTAAAAATATGTGTTCTATCTTAGGCAAAATGCTGAGGATTAAAAAGTGAACTCAGTAATAAACAATAAACTCTGTTTTAAACAGTAATTTCAATTCTAAATTGTAAGCTCGGTACTACAGTACAAGTATATAGACTCAGTTGTTGAGTTCAATATTAAATAATAATTTGTGTTAAATGAGGAGCTCAGTATTTAACAGTGAGCTCATTATTAAACAAGGAGCTCAGTATTAAGTGTGGAGCTCAGTAATGTCATGACCACAACAAGCTTGTCCTCAGCGTAGTCTGTGAACTAAGAATTTGTATAAACTTATTTGTGGTCTTCTTTTAGCTTGCAAGTGTTTCAATTTAAAAACCACCAAGCACAGCTTTATACTTTAAACAGGAAAGAAGGTTAGTGTATTACCCAACTGTTCTGAAAGTCAGTTAAGTAAAATGTGATAAAGTTGTTAGCTAAAATCCAGATACTAAGATTTACAGCAAGAAATGACAGACGTTATGTACAAAAATCAAAATGAGATCAGTCTCTATTATTGTTGCAGGTCTGGTTTGCTTGAAGTTTCTCTTTCCAGAATGAAGCGGTTGGACACCTTAAGCCAGAATATTGCATCTGTGGTGGCTTCTGTAGTTGAAAAGCTGCCACGGATGGACTGAGCAGAACAAGATAAAGCATTGCAGATTTTTGGTCTTGGTAGCCTAATTCAGTGTGGCAGTCTGAGATATCCTCCCCTCCTACGACCCTGTTGAGAAGCAGCAACAATTTCAAGTTGTTTTTCTCATGGTCTCGACACAGAATGGTTGCCCACGACCAGATTTTCAGACAGATCAAAACTTAAAATGGCTGCTATTCCTAATTAGGTACAGGATTAGTCTACGAGTAGGTCACTGGACCATCCATTGTCTTTCAGTTGAGATAATTAACTTTTTAACTGCCTCATCTATTAACTTGGATGGCTCACAATCTGTCAGGTTTTAGGTGAGATACAAAGGGCTATTCCCACCTCTGGGCAAACCACTGTCTGGGAGTTTCTATTTGTTTTTGGAAATCTTCATTGAATTTCAAAATATCTCTTGTGATTTCCTCTTGAGACAGGTACAATCTGGCCCTGCTGTCAGCTGAATCCACAAGGTAGTTATGTGGCTTTCAGATGCCATTTTGTAAGATTCCATTGTTTATTTCAAAGACAGGTTAGTTTTTTTTAACAAAGTATGGGATGATATAATGATATACATGTGACATACTGAATTCTATTAAATGGTGAACTCAGTACTCAACAATGCAGGTATATAGTTCCTACTGCTAAGCTCAGAATTAAAGTTAATATAGATTAAATAATTAACTCTGTGTTAAGAACAGGAAGATTGTTGTATGATAGGAAGATTGTTATAGGGTGGTAAAGAAGACGTATGGCATGTTTGCTTTTATTGGTCGGGGAATTGAGTATAACAGTCAGGATGTCATGTTGTAGCATTATAAGACTTTGGTTTGGCCACACTTAAAGTATTGCATTCAATTCTGATCGTCACATTATAGGAAGGATGTGGAGGCTTTGGAGAGGGTGCAGAAGAGGTTTACCAGGATGCTGCTTGGATTAGAGGGTATGAGCTACAAGGAGAGACTAGAAAAACTCAGGTTGTTTGCTCTGGAGTGGTGCAGACTGAGGGGAGACTTGCTAGAAGTCTATAAAATTATGAGATGTATAGATGGGGTTGACGGTCAGAATCTTTTACCAGAAGTTGAAATGTCTAAACCTAGGGGGCGTGCATTTAAGGTGAGAGGGGGAGAGTTCAAAGGAGACGTGAGGGGCAAGTTTTTTACATGGAGAGTGGTAGGAGTCTGGAACACGCTGCCAGGGGTGGTGGTGGAGGCAGATACGATAGGGGCAATTAAGAATCATTTGGATAAGTACATGAACATGCAAGGAATGGAGGGGTATGGACCGAGGGCAGGCAGAAGGGATTAGTTTAATTTGGTGTCATGTTCGGCACAGCATTGTGGGCTGAAGGGCCCGTTCCTGTGCTGTACTGTTCTATGTTCTACATGCTGTGGAGGGGAAGTTCAGGGAGTCTTTGCTGTTCTTCAAGCTCTTAATCTTCCTGCATTACTTGTTAAAACTAAAACTTAGAAATCACTGCTTTGTCGCAATGAATGTTTATACTATTCATGTGTAAGGGATCAGCAAACACACCAACTTACATTCATGAAATGTCTTTAAAGTAATAAAACGTGCTGAGGCATTTTACAGGAGTGTTAACAGAGAAAATTAACACTGAGCTACATGAGGTAACAATGGGACAGAATTAGTTTTTAAGGAACTTCTTAAAAGAGACAGAGAGGAAGAGGGCCAGGTCAGTACTCTGCAGATATTGGTTCAAATTCTGTAATGGTGACTGGTTGATTTTAATATCAGCAAAGTTTTTACAAATCGGGAATAAATATAAAGCTAGTCTCAGAAATGGTGATGAAACTGTCACCAAGTTTTGTATAAACCATTTGGCACACTAATGCCCTTTAGTAAAAGAGATCTGCTGTCCTTTCCTCGTCTGGCCTACATGCAACGCCCAGCTCACAGTGACGTGGGTGACTCTTTATTGCCCTCTGGAATGTTCTAGCAAGGTGCGCTGTTCAAGAGGTAATTAGGGATAGACAACAAAGTCAGGAAGGTTGCTAATATGGCTAAGCATTGGATGGGGGACTTGAAGCCTTGCCACCACCACAGCATATTACCAGTGGTGTAAACCTCAGAGGTATGGCTTCCTGGACAGTTAAGGGTAACTTCCCACCCTTGTTTACATTTCGCTTATGTTAGAAAGGCTTACTGCTGTAAGGAGAGACTGTCAGGTAAACACTGGTGACCTCCTGGCAGGTTCCTGGGTGTATGGCCGTCATTAATGTCTGCCCCATGTCTCACTAAAAAGTGGCCCTGTGACCGAGGTATGATTACTAGAATATGACCTCCTCCATCAAATGTCGAGGTTCTGAGGAAGGATTACTCGAGCTGAAACATTAACAGTTGCTGCCAGAACTGCTGAGCTTTTCCGGCAACTTCTGCCTTTGTTCCTGATTTACAGCAGCCGCAGTTCTTTCGGTTTTTATTTTGTGAAGGTCTGGTCCCACCTTCTACAACGACACTTACTTGCCCTTTGAGGGTGCCTTGTCCTGGGACCTCAGCAATGGTCATTGATGGCACTGCCAATGTTGCTGAGTTTCTGGCCCTCTGATTGGCCTGCCAGCTGGAGAAGGTTGACGGCTTTTCTCAATTGGATAGTAGTCTCCTTGGTGGCCTGTTGATTGGCTGCATGTGGCAAAATGCCACTTCAGGGTCCAGGGTCATTTCTGCCTTTCGTGACTGTGAACAGCAGCGGTTCCACCAGTGAACTCACCTTCCTTGGGGCAGCTAAGATGGGCAATAAACACTGGCATACGGGCAAACAGCATAACTGTAATTTGTCGGTAAGCCACCAATTTGTATGAAACGTGGTCCTTGCAGGCAAATGTTGGTGCTGTGTGTGATCACACAGTTTGCTGTGCCCCAGAACGGCTAGCTGATAGAGTGTCTATGATCCTGCAGAAGCTCATTCACCACTGTCACACGCAACATCTTGAAAGCCGATTGAATCGGGGGTATTCAGGCTCTTCTGTCGATAAATTTTTGCATGAATTTCGCATGAAACATAGATGTTTTTATTCTGCTAACCGTTCGCGTTGGTGATGACATGAGATACAGCTGGAAATACACTCGAGATCAAGAAAAAGGAAATTGCCCTAAAAGATGTGGGCAGTTTCCTCACTGCCTCATGGGGATAAATGCCTTTCTTGGTGCGTCACTGAGCCATGGTCTTATGCCCAATATTCAGCCTTCGCTATACAGTCTGATCTAAACTGGAGCAATGGTTAATGCACCACAGCCAGGCTAATGAGAGAGAGAAAAAAAAATCACTCAAAGTTTCTATTGATTAATTTCCATGTGACTCAACTGGTGGGACTGCATTTGTAGATATCAGCTGAGAGCTAGATCAGAGTGATGCTTCTGCAGTTAAATAGCCTACGGAGAATCCCACTTGGGTGCAGTGCTGGGGCGTACGTTTGGAACCGTACTCTGACAGTATCTAACATTTGTGAACAGGAGAGGACAAAATCTTGACTGAAATATTGTGGAAATAATATTGAGATTAGTTGATTGTGTAAGACGGCCATGACTGATTCAACCATCCATTGCGTACCTTTCCTGATTTTAATCCATATTTTGAGTTCATTGCATAAGAGCTGCCTTAATCACTGCTACCATTTTACATCAATCATCAATAACCTCCTTTCTCTTTAAAGGGTTCTTGTTGGGAATCCTTGCTCTCTATTCGGAAAGGGGGACTTAAGGGGCTTGGAAGGAATTACAAATTCCGAGGAGAATGTAGTTTATTTGTTGGTTTTAACTAACTGAGCACTTAGTGCTTGCCTTTGGATCCTGTATATTATTTTGCAAGTGTCACTTAATCAGGCATTTTCCCACATGGTAAATATTAAAATTCAAAAGGGAAAGCTATGTGTAGTTAGAAAAGCAATAATGGAAAATATGATTTATTATTCACATAATCTTCACATCATTTGTGCTTCTCATCCGTAGTTAATCCTATTACAAGGCAATATTAATATGACTGCATACAGGAGGGGAGCTCTCTTAGTCAGGTAGCTGCTGCTCTCGTACTGTGAAAAAAGAATTAATCATAGCTGACATTCTCATTGACTGTACACTCATTGATATCACATGGTCCTGCTATAGAAGGTGATTGGCGTCAGTGTGCTGAAGGTTGCTGTTTTGATAGGATATGGGTCAGAGTGTGACAGGATGAATTCCAGCTGCTTCAGCTTAAGCTTGTACAGGATCAAGACATCCTTATGGTAAGCACAATATCTGCTCAATGTTCCAGAGGTGCATGGATAAATCATAGTGCATTTTTGGAGTAGGGCATCCATTTATTTCTGCTTCTCCTATTATTTACCTCTTCTGTGCTGTTTTCTCCATTTTTTTTCACATCTGTCCCTATCTCGTTTGCTTTTTTATTGACTTTACCTCAACTTATTATCTCTATTTATCATTGTATCTCTCTGTTTTTATCTCATCCACTATTTCCCCATTTTACTTTCTATTCCTGTCTTCCTGGTTTTCCAGTGTCTCTCTCCTTTCCCTACCCACTCTTTCTCTCAAATCCCTAATTCTATTTCCTGAACCACATACACATCACTCTGTCTCCCTCTGTCTCTGTATAATATCAGTGCTTTATAGACAGGCATGCATTTTTGAAAAAGGTTTCTACTACTACACATCTAGTACTGTGGAAAATGTATGGTTTAGAAAGGGTTTCAACTGAAAGTTTGCAAAGTGGAGTGCTTTGCAGTCATGTCACAGCAGATTTAGATAACGTCAGGCACTGTAGCTCATGTCTTGACTCCTGTACATGTATGAATACACACAAGGTAAAAGGGCTTCATGCATGCCTTTTTGTATTATACATATTTAGCACAGTTATTGCTTATAGAATCCCTACATGCAGAAGCAGGCTATTTGGCCCACTGAGTCCACGCCAACCCTCTGATGAGCATTCCACCCAGCCCCAACCCTATCCCTGTAACCCTTCCGTGGCTAACCTTAATATTGCTATGGGAAATCTATTCGGCCAATCCACTTAATCTGCACATCTTTGGACTGTGGAAAGAAACCCACGCGGACACAGGGAGAATGTTCAAACTCCGCACAGACAGTTTCCCAAATGTGGAATTGAACCCCAGTCCCTGGTGCTATGAGGCAACAACGCTAACCACTGTGCCATGGTGCAATATGTACCTTATTTAACAGTGCAATATGCATAAAGTAGCAAAAGGTTTACAAGGAATAAATTACTTAGGTTTTATTGAATTAGGTGGATTTCAGTGTTAATTCCAACATATGAATAAGATATATCAGGTCAAACAAAATAATTCATTCTTACCTGGTGCTGTACATTTGGAGTGTGGCTCTATGTCTGTTCTATGTATCCATTGTACATATGGACAAAGGGCAGCTTGTTTATTGGTTTGATAATATAAATTGTAGAGGAGGCTTCTTCGATATGAGCTCATCCATTAGGTCTGAGGAAGGAACATTTTAAAAGTTTTTTTAAATGATCAGAGACAGGGAGATATAGAGGAGTTAAAGAATTTGCGTGTCCATTTTCACAATTCACAAAAGATTTAAAAGCCAGTTGATTGGTTAAAAAATTAAACAAATGGATAATGAATTGTTAACTTTGCATTAAAGGAGGCAGAACTCAAGAGCAAGGAAATGATACTTCAGTTACGTTGCACTTTTGTCAGAATGCAGCTGGAGCACTCCCTTAAGTTTTTAGTTCAAATCTCAGGAAAGATAGTCCAGTACAGGAAACATTAAGATTAACCAGAATGATACCAAAACTTAAATTGTGATGTTTGATGCCATAATTTTTGATTCATTCTCCCTTCAAGGCTCGTTTCATCAGATTCTTTCAAATGATAAATTAGTTTAATTGACTAAATATAAAGGTGATCACTTTAACCCCCCAAAAAGAGGATAACTTGGGTCAGTTAGGAAGTTAAAAAGTCCAAAACATGATTCCAACCAGCCTGAAGTCTATCCACTTCATAGTTTAAAGAGAAGCAATAATATAATGATAAGATCACTTTAAATTAAAAATTACAGAAGGCTCAGGCATATGTTCTAGGGTCTTAGGTTCAATTCCCACCACTGCACTGTGGAATTTAAATTTAATGAATAAATCCATGCAACAATTGTGGTTAAAACCCATTAGGTTCACTAGTATCCCAATATTTAGAAAATAAAATCTGTTATTCTTATCTGGTCTGGTTTACATGTGACTCGAGACCGATGTGGGAAAAGCCCAGCATGGAGCACTTGCAGGCCCATGGGTAAAGAAGGAACGTAATGCTGAACTTTTAACTTATTTCTTTATTTTTCTACTTTGTACCTAAGATGGTACCAGGAATGTGACATTGGTACACTTTTCAATGTACTCCTATACCCCTGTACTTGAGTATGTGTGACAATAAAACCTAATTCTAATTCTCATTCCAATGATAATGTGCTTGATGCTTAAATGCCTTCTGAAATATTCTAACAAGCTACTCAGTGGTATCAAATTAAATTTCAGATTTCCAGTTTCTGTTGTATTTTGCTTTTACATACCACATGCCATCAACTCACAACTTTTTAATCTCAGTATTAACATACTAAAATACTTTGACACATTTTTAGGATCTACTGTGACATGAAACTAGATGTTTTATTTTCAAGCTAACATGGCAATTTTTATTCAAGCTGCAAGTTTCATTTTGTTATGGCTTTATTTTTAATTCTCATGTGGGACGTGGGTGTTGCTAGCTGGGCCTGCATTTATTGCCCATTCCTAGTTGTCCTCAAGAAAATGGTGGTGAGCTGCCTTTTCAAACCGCTTCAGTCCATGTGCTGTAGGTAGACCGCCCAATGCTAATAGGGAGATAATTCCAGGATTTTGAACTACACACCATGAAGGAATGGCAAATATATTTTCAAGTTGGATTGGTGAGTGGCTTGGATGGGAACTTGCAGGGTCTGGTGTTCCCATGTATCTGCTGCCCTCTGTGTCTCTACCACTGAGCCAGGAGGCCCAGGCCCACCTGCTGTGGAAGGATGTGATAATATCTCTGAACAGGTTGATCAGATAATGTTTAACATTCTGTTTGATCCTAGGGGTTACTGTGGTATAGTGGTAACGTTCCTACCCATGGGAGACCTGGGTTCAAGTCCCACCTGCTCCAGGGATATGTCGTAACATCCATAAACAGGTCAATTTTAAAGAAATGTCTTCTGTTTGACACTTTAAAAGCATTTGCATTTCTGACCTTGACAGATAATTGTCATTAAAGTTTGCTGGTACTGGTGTTGTATGTGTGGAAGACATTTCTTGTGATTGACTGGAAGACTGGAGAGGACTTTTTGCTTTCAGTCCTGGCTATTGTAGCAGCACCTCTTAGTCTGCAGTACAAGGACAAGATGTTGCACAGGCAGCAATTATCATCTTAAGAAACATGAACATAAGTAGGCCTTTCAGCCCATCAAACCTACATTCAATAAGATCATTGCTGATCTGTTTGCGGCCATAACTCGACTTTCCCGCCAGTTCCCCATTACCATTGACCTCTTTGTAGGTCATCTCCGAGTAATATTTCTCACTACTTTAAATGAGAGACTTCTTCTTAATATGTCACCGGTTATAGATTCTCCCACAAGGGAAAACCTTCCTCAGCATCTATCCTGTCAAGCCTCCTCAAAGCTGTTTCATTCTTCGAAACTCCAAGATGTATAGGCCAATTTTGCTCAATTGCCCCTCATAAAATAAATCCTGCATCCCTTGATTTAATCGAGTGAACCTTCTCTCACCTGCTTCCAATGGAAATAAATTCTTCTTTTTCAAAAGACTAAAGCTATGCACGGTGCTCTGGGTGTAGCCTCACCAGAGTCCTATAGCAAGGCATCCATCCCCTTGCAACACCACTTTCCTTCTTAATTACTTGCTGTACCCTCATGCTTTTTCTGATTGATGTACAAGGACACCAGGTCCATCTGTGCTGTGGCATTTTGCAGTACATCTCTTTCCATTTTAAATAATATTCCACTTTTCTATTTCTCCTGCAAAGTGGACGACCAGATATTCCCACGTTGTACTCCATCTGCCAAGTTTTTGCCCACACAATTTGCATATCTATAGAAGATAAGCTACTCACAGAGGAAGCAGGAGAAAGGGGAGGAAGGTCTCTTTGTACAATGCATCTGCAATTCAGAAATCTACCACCTCTTCAATTCAGACAAATTGCCTCCGAGCAAGGGGTGAGTGCAGCATAGCTTGTGACTGTGAAGGTGACTGGATCCTTCCATGCTAGAACATGCAGTATAGGTACAACTTCCCAGGCCATGGCCCATTTTTGCATCAGAGGTTGTAGGAGTTCTGTTTGTCAGGAGGGGTGACTGTTTTGTCTTCTCTCTGTGTAGATCGAAGTTGACAGAAGCATAAATGTAAGGCTTTGATATGAAAATGGACCAGCCCATGTTAGAGGGTGCCAGTGATAACACACATAGCTGTGTGGCTGCATTGCACTGGCGAGGGGTAATGAAACCACATACATTCTGACCCACTGAGTGTGGAACTGGAGGAACACAGCAGGTCAGGCAGCATCAGAGGAGCTGGGTTTACATTCTGACCCACTCAGTGTGGAGTGGGTGTGTGAAATCATGCTGGTGAATGCCCACTATGCCCACTGTCCTGGACGAGGTGGAGGCAAGAGGTAGGAGGCAGTCAGCACATCCACAATCTGGATGGGCTGTCTATCAGTTATCATACATTCAACTCCATTTCATGAGAACATGAGAAATAGGAGCAGGAGGAGGCCATCCGGCCCATCAAGAGCCTACCCCACCATACAATAAGATCATGGCTGATCTTTTTGTGGACTCAGCTCCACTTACCCACCTGCTCACCATAACCCTTAATTCCTTTACTGTTCAAAAATCTGTCTATCTTTGTTCTAAAAACCTCCATTAAATGAGGTAGCCTCAACTGCTTCACCTGGCAGGGAATTCCACAGATTCACAACCCTTTGGGTGACGAAGTTCCTCCTTAAGATGAGGCCATTTCCTGCAAGTAAAACCGCGGATCCCAATTATTCAACAATCCCACAACCAACACTGTGTTCCTATGGCCACATTCACAGAAACACAGAAACCAAGAACAAGGAGAGGCCGAGATAACAAGGTGCAGGGCTGGATGAACACAGCAGGCCAAGCAGCATCTTAGGAGCAGAGAGGCTGACGTTTCGGGCCTAGCCCCTTCATCAGAAAAGGGGGAGGGGAAGGGGGTTCTGAAATAAATAGGGAGAGAGTGGGAGGCGGATAGAAGAGGGATAGAGGAGAGGATAGGTGGAGAGGAAACAAACAGGTCGAAGAGGCGGGGATGGAGCCAGTAAAGGTGAGTGTAGGTAGGGAGTTAGGAAGGGGATAGGTCAGTCCAGGGAGGACAGACAGGTCAAGGGGGCGGGATGAGGTTGGTCGGTAGGAGATGGAGGTGCGGCTTGAGGTGGGAGGAGGGGATAGGTGGGAAGAAGAACCGGTTAGGGAGGCAGGGACGAGCTGGACTGGTTTTGGGATGCGGTAGGGGGAGGGGAGATTTTGAAACTTGTGAAATCCACATTGATACCATTGGGCTGCAGGGTTCCCAAGCGGAATATGAGTTGCTGTTCCTGCAACCTTCGGGTGGCATCGTTGTGGCACTGCAGGAGGCCCAGAATGGACATGTCGTCTGAGGAATGGGAAGGGGAGTTGAAATGGTTTGCGACTGGGAGGTGCAGTTGTTTATTGCGAACCGAGCGTAGGTGTTCTGCAAAGCGGTCCCCGAGCCTCCGCTTGGTTTCCCCGATGTAGAGGAAGCCACACCGGGTACAGCGGATGCAGTATACCACATTGGCAGATGTGCAGGTGAACATCTGCTTGATGTGGAAAGTCTTCTTGGGGCCTGGGATGGGGGTGAGGGAGGAGGTATGGGGGCAGGTGTAGCACTTCCTGCAGTTGCAGGGAAAAGTGCCGGGTGTGGTGGAGCTGCGACAGGAAGAGGCCATTTGGCTCTTTGAGCCTGCTCCGACATTCAGTATGGTCATGGCTAATCCTCTATTTCAACTTGTATTCCTGCCCTCTCCCCATACCTTTTGATACCTTCAATTTCTAGAAATCCAACTATATCTTTCTTAAATGTATTCAGTGAGTTGGCTTTCACAGCCTTTGTGTTAGAGAAATGCACAAAATGAAGAGATTTCTCCTCATCTCAGTCTGACATGGTTTACCCCATATCCTGAGACCATGCCCCTTTGTGCTAGACCCCAAAGCTGGCAGGAAGATCATCCCTGCATTCATTCTATTCAGCCTAGTCAGAATGTCATGTAGCAGCATCCCCTCTCATTCATTCCTCTAAGCTGCAATGGACACAAGCCTAATTGACCTTTCGCTCCTCAGACAACAACCTGTCATCACAGGACTATGTCAAGTGGACTTTCGCTGTATTCTCTCTATGGTAGGTATGTCTTTTCTTGGTTAAGGAGGACAATACTGCCAACATTCTAGAGGACAAGGTGAGAACATGCTACGCTGCATTTGCAAGACTAAGTGGTACATGAATAGCACGTTTTGAAACCCTACAGTTTAAGAAAGTGCAGGAGGAAGAAAACTGACCACTAGACAGAAGAAGAGGACCAAGCAGGCAGTGAGGAAATCCCCTGAGTACATTTCTTGCAAGCCATTTCTCGGCTTTTAAAGCGGAGAGAGTGACAATTTCTCTGTGGGGACCAGTCAGAGCCAAGTTGATGGCACTGTGGATGGTCCAGCTGCTCAGGGTGGGGCAGTAGGAAGAAGTACGGAAGGGCAAAAGTGATAGGGGCTTTATTACTGAGGGGATTTGATGTAGGGATGGCCGTAGACATGGGAAGAACATTATGGAACTTTTGAGGATATCAAGGATAATGGTGACCTGCTGCATTCTGCGTAAATGTCAAATGGACTTCTGACGGCAATTTTCAATCATGTTGCTAAGAATGTATAGGTTTCTGTAAACCTGTGAATTATATGTGCTACTCAGCAAGTATAGATTGTTACGATCCCAGTTGATTGTATTATTGGGCAAGTCAGATCTTGGACAGGAACCTGACTTGTTTTTAGTTGTTTTGCTTTTGATGAAGAGGTTCCTCGTTGAGACATAAGCATGTAATGTTGCAGATTTTGCTTTAACAATAAAATGGATTTTTTTAATTACAGAAGAAATGAAGCTTAAAAACGAACATTAAAAATATATTTCCAATAATCCCCTCCAAAATTGTGTAATTTGAAAAGGAACAAAGCAGCTTTTGTACAGTATCTAAAACACACCACTTTTACAATACTCACCCCAGAGTCCTTGCATCTAACACCTCAGTCACTTTAAGTCATTTGTGACATCAATTTTTGAACTGGACCTATCATTACCTCTCTTGCTCTGGACCTACGCTATGGACTTGATCTGCCTCCACACCATTTCCCCATCCTGGCACCTAAATCACCCTTCCCCAGCCATCAGATCCAACCTCGCTACTCCCAACTCAACACCTACCATCTGCAACCCCAACTAGAATCAATTTCTTCCATACACCTCAACCTACCCGAAACACTGCATCACCTACCTGGTCTCCATGCCACCTGACACCTTACCCAGCTGGCACCTTACTTATCTGGCACCCATCCCACTACCTTCCTGCCTTTCAAACTTTTCACTTACCTTGCGTAAGTGAGAGGGGATATAGGCTTTTTGCAATTTGGGGCCGCTTCCTTTGACTATATACCATCATGAGAAGAGCCAGTCAAGTATTTTTGAAATGTTGCAGTTTAAAGAGCTCATGCAGTGGAATATAAATGCCTCTTCTGTGTGTTAGTAATTTTATATGCCTGATGGAGAAAAGTTACGTTTGAGGATTTGCTGTGTGAAGCACTTTAAAATTTCATTACGATGGTGACACTTGTGAGTTGTTCCAATTTGGTCATACATGGGAAACATTGAAACTAGAAAACTGTGTCAACTCTCTGGATGGGCCAACAATACTGGAGTGTGGTGAAATAACTTTAAATTATACAATATCAATACCATAATTTGGTAGCTACTTAGGATAGGGAAGTATTGTGTAGACTTACTTTAGTGGTCTCTACAAGTCTACCATATAGCCCTTTTGGATTCAGATCATATGATTCTTATTGATAGCACTCCCCATTATCATCCTTTTCCATAAGGCTTGGCGTATACATCTTTTCTTTTGAGAATACACTTTTTTCCTTTACTTTGTATATTAGCTCAGTGTGTCACCCAGATGCCAGCTGCCTTTATGTCGTATGTGATAATACAGCCATTTAAATTGTTTTGTTGGGGCCCTTTACATTAACAGTAACTGAGGATCCTGATCTGAATGTTTTGCTAAGCTACTGTAAATCATAGAATCCCTATAGTGTGGAAGCGGGCCCATTGAGTCCACACTGACCCTCTGAAGAGCATCCCTTCCAGACCCACCCTATCCCTGTAACCCTGCACTTCCCATGGCCAACCCACCTAGCCTGCACATCTCTGGACTGTGGGAGGAAACCAGAGCACCCAGAGGAAACCCATACAGACACTGACAGTCGCCCGAGGGTGGAATCAGACCTGGGGTCCCTGCTGCTCTGAGCCTGCAATTCTAACCACTGTGCCACACTAAAGGCTGTAGCTGATGCACAGTAAACGATATATGCAAATTTTGAATGTTGTGAGCAAATGGTCAAGGAAGTGCATCAGTGAAATTTCATCGCATCACCCAATTTATTTCAAATTTTTAGTTAGCAATGTCGACACTTCTGATTGCTGTCTCATGACCCTGATTTTCTATGGCTCTTCCCCCCATTCTTCTTTTCCTGTTCCCCTTTCCTATAGTTAGGTTTCTCATCCCTCTGCATTTTCATGATTCTCTGCATTTTTGCAGTTCTTTCTTACCCAGGGTCCGTTTGTTAACATCTGTTCTGTTTTACTCCCTCTCCTGGTCTCTGTTTGCTTCTCTCTCTCTCTCTCTCTCTCACACACACACACACACACATCATTTTTTCTCTCTGCATATTGCCATCAATTCTGTCTGTCATTGGCTGCCTGCCTTCACCTTGTTATAAAATTTTCCATTACTGCTCAATGCCGTACTGTGATTCGTCCTCCCACTCATGTGTGGGTTCACTTTTTTTTCCAAAAGAAGCAGCAGTACAGAATGAATAAACCATGACTGTTGAATGCAGCCCTGCATCTGCTACTGGGGATTGAGACATCACAATCAGCCGCATAGATCAAGCCATTTCTGTCGAGTGGGAAGAACTCTGGATGCATCCTGATTAACTCTCACCTTCATCCTGCTCATGTTTATATTTGCAGGTCCCTCTGAGGCACTGATAGGAGCGAAGAATGATGGGGGCATTGACTCAATGCAGCCCCCAGGGGGAAGAGGTGGCCAACTCAGAGAAATCCCAGAATTCTTTGCAGCTCAGCCAGGAGAATCGATGGGGCTGGATGAAGAGAGTCTGTCTGAGGGCAAGCTACAGTGTTCTCCTTTGTGTCCTGTCCCAGATCCTGGTAAGTCCTTGGGTTGGGATGCAAGTCATCAAATGTTTTGTCAAAACCCTTGAAGCCAAACATGACATCAGTCAAAGTGGTACTGCTGTTTTATCATCTGGCTTAACCTGCCCAATGTAATTACAACATTTAAAAGACATCTGGATGGGTATAAAAACAAGAAGCGTTTAGAGGGATATGGGCCAAATGTTGGCAAATGGGACTAGATTAATTTACGATATCTGGTTGGCATGGAGGAGTTGGATTGAAGGGTCTGATTCCATGCTGTACAGCTCTATGACTCTATAATACCCATTATATGGTCTACTGAACAAAGGGATGGATATAAATGCAGTTAAAAATGTTGATGTTGGTTATGATCAAGTGATATCTTTGTAGGGCATATCCACAATGAGCCATTGTTGCCTGATGACCTTTACAGAGACCAGACTAATAGATGAATTTAAGAGCAAAATATTGCTCGACAGGGATAACTAAACATGGATTATTCATAAGATAATAGTCATAGAGCGTGATATCTGTATATCACTGCATTAATTGTGAATGGATTCTAGTTGGGGTTGCAGATGGTAGGTGTTGAGTTGGGAGTAGCGAGGTTGGATCTGATGGCTAGGGAAGGGTGATTTAGGTGCCAGGATGGGGATTATTGCAATCGCAGGTCGCAAAGCAGTAGTAACTCTGAAAGCATCGATAAGATAGTAAAAACACCGCAGACACACCACAGACAGAAACAGCTGTGATAACCAATATGGAAGCAAAAGCAGTGAATGAGGGTGAATAGCTCTGTAATAAGTAAGCAGTCATCAATTGCTGTGAACAGGGCATTGCACGTGATTTGGGAATTTCAAAGAAAGAAGACAAAGGAAAAAACACTACAAAAGCAGAAGAAGCTGACAGATACAGTGTTGATCTGTACTCCTTTCTTACTACATCATTACAGGCTGCCAGTTTCTGTTTTCAATTCACTTTCAATTATCCCTTGTCCAGAGGTTTGAGGCCAATAGATCACAATTCCCCTTAGAATTGCGAGTAAGAAAATAAATCAGTGTAAGAATGTGCATAGATTTACCTCCCTCTCCTCGATCTTTTCTCCTTTTACACTTTCCCTTCCTCACCTCTTTGTGTTTTTACTCTTATCTCGTGTTAGCTGTGGACATGTACATTAGGCGTATGAGTCAGAAGTACATGGTAGATTGGGATACTGGGAGTACTGCCACCAGCACATGGTAATTGAGCAAGAGAAACAGAACAAAGATCTAAAAGTCTCTTGGTTGGTGGCGTGCTGAGTTAGGGACAGTGCTGTTAGTATGGTCAAGCTCACTTGTACTGCCTGTGTCGTTTTTAAAATGGCTGTTTCAAACAAATGATGTTGCTGCAGAATGGAGGCAGTGGCGCATTGGTGATGTCACTGAACTAGTAATCCAGAACCTCAGGCTAATGGTGACTAAGTAACCATTGTCGACTGTTGTCAAATCCTACCTGGTTCATCAATATCTTTTGTTAGGGAAGGAAATCCGACCAGTGTGTGACTGCTCTCTGTGCCATTGGGGATGGGCAATAAATGCTGGCCTAGTCAGTGATGCCCACATCCAATGAACAAATAAACAGGTTAAATCCAACTCCTGCCTGCACATAGCTGTAGAGGATTGAGGTAAGTGCTAAGAATGAAGTATGCCCACCTTAGGCAAGCGAACCAAGTCATCTTTTGGGGCTATATCAGACAGATAGTACTGCCAATAAAATAGAACATGCTCAAAGTAGCAGGCCAGTCAGCAGGGGTGGAGAAAAGCATGAGTAAATATTTTACTTAATGTGACCCTTCATCAGATTCTCATTTCAGATTTTCAGCACCTGCAGTACTTCGCTTCCAAGAAAATGTCACTATCCCTCTCGGGAATGTGCTGATTTGACTTGTTTTCTCTTCCAGTCTGTTATTTTCTGACTCTCAATCTATGCCCAGTTTTCTCGTAATATAACATTTATAATATGGATATGTTGCCCAGTGCTGAGTATGGACTGGATCAATCAAGAGGTAAAGCAATCTGCTTCATGCCAGTGTGAAATCCTCTTCCCATTTCCCACAGCTGCCAAACTGTGTTCTAAGTGAAGCTGGAAGCTTAATCCTGGGAACATGCTAAAATACAGTAAAACAATTTCCAAACGCCTCTAATAGGGGCAGCAGGGTGGTTCAGTGGTTAGCACTGCTGCCTCACAGCGCCAGGAACCCGGGTTCGATTCCACCCTCGGGCAGCTGTCTGTGTGGAGTTTGCACATTCTCCCAGTGTCTGCGTGGGTTTCTTCCAGGTGCTCCAGTTTCCTCCCACAGTCCAAAGATGTGCAGGTTAGATGGCTTGACCATGCTAAATTGCCCATAGTGTCCAGGGATGTGTGGGCTAGATGGATTAGCCATGGGAAATGCTGGGTTACCGGGATTTGGGGGGTGGGTTGTGTCTGGGTGGGATGCTCTTTGGAAGGTTGGTGTGGATTTGATGGGCCAAATGGCCTGCTTCCACACTATCAGGCTTCTTCTGTGATTCAACACCAGTGTAAAGAGTCGCCTTTGGGGCCTGGACAAACCACATTGTGTGTGGATCTCCCTCTATCATTGCAGATCACACTGTGCGCAGTATTCCTCCCTTGTGTGGCTCTCTAGCTTTTCCTTCTATCATCCAAATGAAGCTCTCTCAATCTGCAGGCTTAACTATGCTGTGATTACCATTCACCACCGTCTATGGTCCCAGCTGGGAGCTAGAATTGTCATCCCAATTTTCCCTACCCTAGGGACAGTTCTGTCTGTCCAAAATTTTTGACGAAGTAATATTTTCTTTAGATAGAGCAGACTGGTGTTTTCCTTGGATTTTCCAAAGGTATTTATAGAGTCAAACACTACTTTGGTCCAACCCATCCATGCCAACCAGATATCCTAAATAAATCTAGCCCCATTTGCCAGCATTTGATAAGGTGTTACATCAAAGGTGTGGTGGTATCTGAGATAATAGCACGTGAGATAGGGGGAAACATACTAGAACAGATAAAGGGCTAGTTAGCCAACAGGAATCAACGTGAAAATAAATTAGTCTTTTTAGAGTTGACAGACTTCAACAAGTGGAGCCCAACACAGATCAGAAGTAGGTCCTCGACTGTATATCACTTATTTGCTTGAAGGGTCTAAATGTATGTTAGCTAAATTTGCTGATGATACCAAGGTGGGTGGGGAGAAGAACATAAGAACCAGGAGTAGGCCATCTGGTCCTTCAAGGCCACTCTGCCATTCAGTAACATCATGACTGATTGTTTCATGGCCTCAGCTCCACTTACCCACCCTCTCACTGTAACCCTTAATTCCTTTACTGTTCAGAAAAATTATCTGTCTTAGCTTTAAAAACATTCAGTGGGGTAGCCTCAACCGCTTCACTGGGCAAGGAATTCCACAGATTCACAGCCCTTTGGGTGAAGAAGTTCCTCTTCAATCCTAAATCTGCTCCCCCTAATTTTGAGGCTATGCCCTCTTGTTCTAGTTTCACCTGCCAGTGGAAACAACCTCCCTGCTTCTATCTTATCTCGTCCCTTCATAATTTTATATGATCCCCTGCCCCCCCCCCCCCCCCCCCCCCCCCCCCCCCCCCGCAACCGCTCTCATTCTTCTAAATTCCAATGAATATAATTCCAGTCTCTCATCATAAGTCAACTCTCTCATCTCTTGCATCAACCCAGTGAATCTCCTTTGCGCCCCCCGCTCCCCCCCAGTACCAGTACATCTTTTCTCAAGTAAGGAGACCAAAACTGCACTTAGTACTCTATGTGGCCTCACCAGCCCCTATACAGCTGTAACATAACTACCCGGCTTTTAAATTCAGTCCTGTAGCAATGAAGGAGAAAATTCCATTTCACTTCTTAATTACCTGTTGCACTTGCAAACCAGTCTTCTGTGATTCATGTAGAAGGACACCCAGGTCCCTCTGCACAGCAGCATGCTGCAATTTTTTACCGTTCAAATAAAAATGCTTTTTACTGTTATTCCTACCAAAATGGATGACCTCACATTTATCAACATTGTACTCCATCTGCCAGACCTTTGCCCACTCACTTAAACTATCTATATCCCTTTGCAACCTTTCAGAGTCCTCTGCACACTTTGCTCTACCACTCATCCTTGTGTCATCCGCAAACTTTGACATCTACACGTGGTCCCCAACTCCAAGTCATCGATGTAAATCGTAAACAATTGCAGTCCCAACACTGATCCCTGAGGCACACGACTAGTCACTGATTGCCAATCAGAAAAACACTAATTTATGCCCACTGTTTGCTTCCTGTTAGTTAACCAATCCTCTATCCATGCTAATACATTGCTGGTAACACCATGCGCCTTTATTTTATGCAGAAGCCTTTTGTGCAGCAACTTGTCGAATGCCTTTTGTCCATCGCACTCGTAAAGCCTTCATAGAATTCTAGTAAATTAGTTAAACATGACCTGTCCTTCATGAACCCATGTTGTATCCGCCCAATGGGAAATCCCCATCTTTTGTCTACCTCCTTTTTGAAACAGTTGTGTCTCATTGGCTATTTTCCAATCTGCTGGAACTGCCCCAGAGTCCAGCAGAATTTGGAAAGTTACCAGAGCGCATTTGCTATTTCTCCCACCATCTCTTTTACTACCCCGGGAAACATTCCATCAGGGCCAAGAGACTTGTCTACCTTGAGCTCCATTACCTTCCCAACACTACCTGTTTTGGGTTAATGATTGTTTCTAGGTCCTCACCTACCTTAGGCTCCTTGTCATCAATTACTGTCATGTTATTCATGTCCTCCACTGTGAAGACCGAGACAAAATACCTGTTCAATGCCTCAGCTACTTCCTCATTTCCCATTATTAAATCCCCCTTCTCATCCTCTAAAGGACCAATGTTTACCTTAGCCACTCTTTTTCGTTTTATATATCTGCAGAAATTTTTGCGATCTGTCTTTATATTCTGAGCTAGTTTACTCTCGTAATCTGT